GTAATCAGGCTTTGCTTAATTGTAGCACGTCTGACAGCCTTGCTGTGGTGCCTAGGCAGGGTTCAGGAATGCAGCTGCAGAGCAATCAGAGTGGGGGGACGGGGTCAGCTTATATGGAGCGGGTTTTGGGAGGCAGCTCGTCTCCAACAGTCTTCAGTTTATTGTATTGCATAAATGTTAGTTTCTTAGTTTTGGTAATTATACCATTGTTACATAACATGTTAACATTAAGGGAAGTTGGATGAAGGGTACACAGGAACTTTAAAAAAGATTTATTTAAATTGTACAGACAGGGTTTCATCATGTTGCCCAGGCTGGTCTTGAACTCCTGAGCTCAAGTGATCCACCCACTTGTGCCTACCAAAGTGCTGGAATTACAGGTGTGAGCCACTGCATCTAGCCAGGAACCCTCCATATAGAGAAGAACTCGTTGTAACTCTTTTTGTACATTTAAAATTAATGGAATAATTTTTTAAAAGTCTTTAAAATCTGGACAGCTTTACAAAATGTGGATATTTGTTACTCCTGCCCTTGGGACTCTGATTCAACAAGTCGCGGGTGCGGCTCAGAATCCATATATATATATATATATATATATATATATATATATATATATACATTTATTTATTTATTTATTTATTTGAGACATCTCACTCTGTTGCCTAGGCTGCAGTGCAGTGGCGCAATCACAGCGCACTGCAGTCTCCACTTCCTAGGTCAAGGGATCCCTCCACCTCAGCCTCCTGAGTAGCTGGGACTATAGGCTCGCACCATCGTGCCTGGCTAATTTTTTACATTTTGTCGACACAGGGTCTTACCATGTTGCCTAGGCTAATCTCAAACTCCTGGGCTCAAGCAATCCTCCTGCCTTGGCCTCGCCATGTGCTGGGTATAGGAGATCAGAGCGGTGGGAAAAATCACAGGAAAAGAACACGAATCTTGAAAGGTCGGAGGGTTTTGCAAAGCTCCAGGGGAGAATAAGCTGAAGGTAGCTGTTCTCTGCCCTGAGGCAGAGGCCAAGGAGCAGGTGCAAGGTAGGGTAGGGGAATTTCTCTAAATAGGTTTGTTTATTTATGTTCTCGGGAAACCAACCTTTGATCATTCCCACTGGAGATTGCTCCCTGTAAGGGGGAACAATAATGTTAATTACCCTCCGTTTGTATTGGCTCCAGGCTTTATGTCTACTGAATAGAAGCAAGCAGCTCCAGCTGTTCAGGGCTGGTCTCTCTTTGGCCATTAGCGCCGGCAGCCCCCCGCCCCCCAAACGAGGGTTTGTGGGATGAACCCGGCAGCTGGGATTATAGACCTGAGCCACCACGCCCAGCCTCTCTATTTTTAAAAAAGCTACTGTTTGGCCGGGTGTGGTGGCTCAAGCCTGTAATCCCAGCACTTTGGGAGGCCGAGGCGGGTGGATCACGAGGTCGAGATCGAGACCATCCTGGTCAACATGGTGAAACCCCGTGTCTACTAAAAATACAAAAAATTAGTTGGGCATGGTGGCGCGTGCCTGTAATCCCAGCTACTCAGGAGGCTGAGGCAGGAGAATTGCCTGAACCCAGGAGGCGGAGGTTGCGGTGAGCCGAGATCGCGCCATTGCACTCCAGCCTGGGTAACAAGAGCGAAACTCCACCCCCTCCCCCCCCCCCAAAAAAAAGCTACTGTTTGGCTGGGTGTGGTGGCTCATGCCTGTAATCCCAACGCTTTTGGAGGCTAAGGTGGGTGGATCACTTGAGGCTAGGAGTTTGAGACCAACCTGGCCAACATGGTAAAAACCCCATCTCTACTAAAAATTTAAAAAATTAGCTGGGCGTGGTGGCACGCACCTGTAATCCTAGCTATTCTCGAGGCTGAGGCAGGAGAATCGCTTGAACCTGGGGGGTGGAGGTTGCAGTTAGCTGATATTGTGCCACTGCACTCCAGCCTGAGCGACAGAGGGAGACCCTGTCTCACAGACACACACAAAAAGCTACTAATGTTATCTTTATTATCAGTGGAATTTGATTTGAGGACCAGGGAACTGGAGAAATCAAGAGTGCAGGAAAAAAATCAATCTAATTTTTCCCTAAACTATGCATGTGAGATTAGTCATCATTAATTACGACTTTTTTTTTTTTTTTGAGACAGTTTCACTCTTTTTTTTTTTTTTTTTTAAGATGGGGTTTCACCATGTTGGTGAGGCTGGTCTTGAACTCCCGACCTCAGGTGATCCGCCCACCTTGGCCTCCAAAGTCCTGGGATTACAGGCGTGAGCCACCACTCCCAGCCCAGTTTCACTCTTGTTGTCCAGTCTGGAGCACAATGGCGTGATCTATGAGTGAGTACAATGGGCTCACTGCAACCTCTGCCTCCCAGGTTCAAGCGATTCTCCTGCTTTAGCCTCCTGAGTAGCTGGGATTACAGTCACCTGCCACTATGCCCAGCTAATATTTTGTATTTTTAGTATAGAGATGGTTTCACCGTGTTGGCCAAGCTGGTCTCAAACTCCTGACCTCAGGTGATCCACTTGCCTCAGCCTCCCAGAGTGCTGGGATTACAGGCGTTAGCCACTGCAGCTGGCCAATTATGACTTTAAAAAGGAAAATATGGCCATTAATTTGAGGTCATGGACCAACACACTAGCGACATCAACTACCTCTCTCCCTTTTAGTCTCTTACCCTTGGCAACCTCCTCCAGTTGTTCATGGTGTTTTGGAACAGAGTGGTTGGTACCTAATGTGACAGTGGTCACTTAATTTTCATTAGGTAGATGGCCTTGGAGCCCAAATTTCCATAGCTTGTTCAAAGTGGGGAAGCAAAAGAACTGAACAAGGAACTGACTTGGGCTCAGGAGTATGCATGTAGGCTTCCATAAAAACATCTGAATGAACACAGAGTCCGCTGTGGTCAAGAAAGACAAAAATACTTGATGTGCTTGTACCCCAAGCTTCTGCCATCAGAGACAGGTTGAATTTGCTTTTATTTGTCTACTCTTAAGATCCATGCTTTGTTTTGCTTAGAGAATAAAGTATGGCATTTTTAAACACTAGTGTCTAAATCACTTTTCAGATGGGACAGAAATTACTAGTTCCTTAGGTTTCATATCATCATATAAACCTTTTTTTTTTTTTTTTTTTTTTTTTTTGAGATAGGGCCTCACTCTGTCATCCCGGCTGGAGTGCAGTGGCATGATCACAGTTTACTACAGCCTCAACCTCCCACCTCAGCTATCCTCCCACCTCAGCCTCCTGAGTAGCTGGAACTACAAGCATGGATCACCATGCCTGGTAAATTTTTTTTTTTTTTTTTTTTTGAGATGGAGTCTCACCCAGGCTGCAGTGCAGTGGCATGATCCCAGCTCACTGCAGCCTCCACCTCTTGGGTTCCGGCAATTTTCCTGCCTCAGCCTCTTGAATGGCTGGGATTACAGGCGTGTGGCACCACACCCAGCTAATTTTTGTATTTTTAGCAGAGACGGGGTTTCATCATTTTGGCCAGGCTGGTCTTGAACTCCTGACCTCAGGTGATCTTCCCACCTTGGCCTCCCAAAGTGCTAGGATTACAGGTGTGAGCCATCGTGCCCACCCTGGTTAATTTTTGTATTTTTTTGCAGAGACAGGGTCTCACTATGTTGCCCAGGCTGGTCTCAATCTCCTAAGCTCAAGCGATCCACCTGCCTTGGCCTCCAGAAGTGCTGCGATCACAGGTTTTGAGCCACCATGCCAGGCTGTGAGATAATCATAAATGAACATTCAGTGGTGTGGTTCCTAATTTACAGTAGAGGAAATGAGTGCAGAGAAGTTAAATAGTTTGCCTAGGATGCACTACCAGTAAGAAGCAAAGCTGTGGTCCCGATCCAGGTAGGCATACTCCTTGCGTGACAGTATTCTTCACTGACTGTGCTGAGTTGGGAGTGTGGGGGCTTTGCAGTGAGAAATCTTTTAAGAAACTGGTGGTGATGGTTGGGGTTCTCTGATCGGGACTGCTCTTATTTGTAGTTATGACTGCAAAATATGGGTAAATATGGGTAAGATCACTCAAATGCCTCAGGGTTATAAGTGCTTGGGGGAGGATGGGGTCAATGAGGTCCAAAACCATGTCCTAAAAGTCACCTTGTCCTAAGTATTTTATCAGTTGTAAGACAGCCAAACTGTACATGAGGTGGGGGATCCTTCCGGGAGATCTACTATATGGGGCTCCTCTTTGATAGTAGAAGGAAGCTACCTTTATGTCCTCAAAAGGCCCCAGCGTGCGGGATTTCCTCGAGGAAGAAGGAGCATTAGATTCTTACTAGAGAAGAGATCTTTCACCCTGTGGCAGGACTTCCCTTTATCCCATTCGCGGATCCGGTTGCCCACGATGCAGGCCTGCCACGAAACACATCTGAATGAGCACGCAGAGTCCATTATGGTCAAGAAAGAGAAAAATAGTTGTCACGTATGGTAATTATTTCTTAAACCTTGGATAGCAGTACGGGGGCAGGCCTGCTTTTGGGGTCTGTGTTAAGTAACCCCTGTGCTCCCAGCCCTGAGAAACACAGTGCAGCCCACATCCCTTCTGGTTTCTTGACCACGTGTTGTCTTCTAAGGACTCCTCTCCGTTCCTGAATTTCACATAACTGCGACCGGCGATTTACCAGTTGGACAAATGTCCAAAACAGAACAACCCAGAACTGGGGATGGTGGGGCGAGGAAAGTACTCTTTGCCGAGAGACCCACATCGTGTACAGCGAGGGTAAAGGAACAGGCTGTTTCACCGGCGAAGGGAAGTTGTGGACTCATGTCAAGGCACGGGGAGATTCGAGGATCCGCTGCGCACGCGCTCGCACTTGGCGAGCCGCAGTTCTGCGGTTCAGGGCACCGAGCTCCTCCCCCGCCCAGGAAAGGCTGCCCGAGCCGTCAGCTGCGGGGCGGAGCTGCAACCCTTGCTGCAGGTGGATGCTCCCAGGAGAACCCTGAGGTCCGAAGGCCACCAGGAGGCGGGTCGCGAGGGGGGCGGGACCTCGGGCCACGGGGCGACGCCGCATGTCGCGTGGCGCGCGGGAGCTCGGCGGCGTGGAGCCCCGGGGCGTCCGCTCGGCTTCCAGGCCCGCGGGTGCCGCCGCGCGCGCGCTGCCGTTCGTCAACGCCCTCGGCCCGCCCCCGCCGCAGCTCCACCAATCGGAGCCGGGGGTCGGAGGTGAGGAGGCGTGGCCGGCCGAGGAAGCCGGGGGCCAGCGGCCGCCGGGCGTCGGGGTCCTGGGCCCGGGGAGAGCGAAGGGGTCGGGCGGGCCCCGGAGGTGAGTGCGGGCTGCGGGCTGCGGGCGGGCGCCGGGAGGGGCCGCTGCGGGCGGAGCGACCCATCGCCCGCCCTCCCTGGCGCGCTCCTCGGCTGCGAAGCCCTCCTCCGCGCGCTCCGGCCCCCGCGCCCCCCGCCCGGAGCCGGGGGTGCAGCTCCCGGGGCGCGGCCGGAGGGGGCGCGGGGGCCGCGGAGGGGCGGCCCGGGGCGGGGGCGTCGGCGGCAGCGGAGCCCGGAGTTGCCGCAGCGGCGCGGCTGGGAAGCTGGAGGCCAGGCGGGTACCGGCGGGGCGGGGCGGGGCGGGGCGGGGCGGGGCGGGCCGGCGTCTCCATCCTCGGTCCCCTCGGCCGCCGCGCCGCCGCTCCGTGCGGTCCGCACCTCCGCGCCGCCGCCAAGGGCCCCAGTCCCCCGGGCGCCGCCGCTCGGCCCGTCGGTGCACAGCGCCTGGCGGCGTCTCGCTGCCCGTCTCACGCCCCGCGGCTCGTCGCCGCCCCGGGCACCGGCCGCCCCCTGGCTGGCGCCGCCGTCCCGCGGTGGACCGCCGTGGCCGTGCTGAGCCGCCGTTTGGGGACACCGGATTCAGGTCGCGAGGGAGAAGGGAGTGTGACTTGACGGAGCGTGACGCGGAGAGCCTGGCCTGGCGCCCGGTTCTGCCTGATGTCAGGCCGACGAGGGCGGCGGTAAGAAGGGTGCCCAGGCGGGATGGAGGCAGCATGTACGTGAAATGGCACATGTTCTTTCCTTTCGGTTATCCGCGATAAAGGGGGATGGTGGCCACGTATCCCAACGAGAAAGAACCGCCCTGCTCTGGCGGGGCTCCTCCCTCCTCCCTGTGGTTCACGACCGTTCGGAACCTCAGGACGTGTTTGAAGCTGGCAGGACTCCCAGCCCCCGACGATGGTCCGAGTGGAGGCAGCAGCATCCAGTTTCTCCGTCGTCTTTAGGTTCTCCTTGTCTTTCTTTTCTTTCTTTTTTTGGCTTCTGACCAGAGATTCGGTTCACAGCAAAGGTTCTGCTTTTCTTTGACTTTCTTAGTCTTTTTTTTCCCCCATGTCTGTTACCCTCACAGTCTCTTTCGGGCTGATTGAGTGCTGTTGTTTGTTACTGAGGAAGGAAAACAAGGGGTGAATCACAGAACTGGGGTCGGCTGTCCCTATTGCCCTGGAATTGGGTTGTCCTGACTGGATAATTCAAACATCATTTTGAAAAGGTCATCCTTTTACCAACTGAAACGAGTAACACCCCCGGTCATTCTATGCTAGTGATTCTCCTGCCTGGCTGTATGTTGTAATCATCTAGGGACCTTAAAAAAAAAAGCTGCTTCTTGGGCCTGTTCCCACAGATTCTGATTTAATTGGTTGAGTCAGCTCCAGTTATTCATATTTTTAAAAAGCTTCCACGATGATTATTAACGTTCATGCAGGTTTGAAGACCACAACCTCTCAATGTGTTCAATATTTTAAAAATAGCACTTAGTACGCTGTAACTTACATAAGTGATTTTATTACTGCTCCACCTGCCATGTAACTTCCATGAATACATGGGGCCCTGCTTTGGAAGAAGGGCAAGGGAAGGTCCAGGTGAGTCAGCACTTTGGGCACGTGGCGTTGGAGGACATGAAGGAGAAGTGGCATCTGCGGAAACAAGTCTTGTAGACTACTGTCCCTGCTTCATCCTTGTTCAAGGACTGACCCCATTTGGTTAACCCGTCATTGTTGTGGTCTTGGATGGGTCTCCAGTTCTTCGTTCTGTAGATCCTGCCCTGTTTCAAGGTCTTATTCTGCATCCTATGAAATGCAGCTACTCTTTGCAAAGTTTGAAATATAAGCATTTAAGTGTAGATACTTTCCATGTAAATCTGTGCTTTTGTCTCTTACTATTCTTCTAAACTGTTCTGAACTAAAGTTGCTCTCACTAGTACAATTACATTGATGTGGCTAACAGGTCAGATTATTTAGGATAGAGACTGCCTCAGAAACTGGACAGTTCCCATGCAATTGTCCTCTAATATATTGTCTTTGTGGAATGTTTGCCTGAGACCATTAGCTCCCCAGGGGGTATAGGGTTGCTGTCTAATTTTCATTATTTAGTATTGAATTCAGGAATTTCCTTTGTGTTACTGACAATTGTAAATCTAAATGATGTAAGCAACTACTTTGTGATTCTCTTGTGAGAAGGGGTAGAACCCTAATGGCAATCTGGGATTATTGTCACAGGCCATAATGAAGTTAGATTGGCCACTGTGAGTCTTAGATATGGAAGTAGGCTTAATAAAAATTTGGCAGAACACTTCCAACAAATACTGGGTTCCACATGTAAGTCAGAGCATGCATTTAACTTTTTGCTTGTCCTTTGCACATATTAATAAAAATAAAGCATGAATAAGTGGTGGTCCGGCATTTGAAAACACGATCACTCAAGTTTAGATTCCTTGAATTATAACTTTTAGATCTGTACAGATACTTATTTTTTTTTTTCTGTAGAGGAAAACAAGATCATTGAATTATTGAGCTACATAATTGTAATAGTTTTTAAGAAAAAAACATTTGGAGCTTTTATCTTTGGTTTCTATTTTTTTAACTTATATTGCTATTTATTAAGTTTTGACCTTCAGCCAAGGTCTGAGAGTGATTTGCCAGTTTGAAGTTAATGTATTTAAATAGACAATTACTATTTCTTATTAGTAAGGAAAAGGAAACATTCCTATCCCCACTCCTTCCACTGTATCATATATAACTCTGCCTGTAAAATTGTACTCTTAATTTCTACTATTTTTTAACTTCATTTTCAGTATGTTTAACCTTTGTATCATGTGCATATTTCCGTTGCAGCAAGAAGAATGATATAAAAATAAAAAAAAAACATTTATGTGTGTTTCAAATGTGGCATGAAGAAAATAAGCACTGCTGGTCAAAATTGCCTGAGTTCAGAATTTCATGCTAGAAGGAAAGTTAGACATAACTTCTAATTTCTAGTTCCAGGAAGCATCTCTTCTTGGAAAATTTCCGAAAAAGGTAAATTACATTGAATTATATATTTTTACTTTATTGGTTAATCTGAGAAACTTTGGAATCATTCCCTGCTAACACTGTTGTTCTTACTTGATTTTAAGGCTCCTTACAAATAGCTTTCTTTTTGTAATGCGTAGGTTTTATATTTATAGGACAATACTAGAAACCTGTTATAGGCTTTTTTTTTTTTTTTTTAAACTGCAGTTACCTCATGCTGTAAAATAGGTTTCTTCTTTTCCTTAAAAACTCTTTCAGTTTAAGTTGAATTGATTTCACATATGATTTAATGCTTTATTTCTCCTATATCTCATCTTTAATTTTTACTTTTCGAAATTGGTTTTATTCTTTATTTTATTTAAGACAGAGTCTCGCTCTGTTACCCAGGCTGGAGTACATTGGTGTGATTATGGTTCACTGTAGCCTCGACCTCCTAGGCTCAAACAGTTCTCCTACCTCAGCTTCCTGAGTAGCTGGGACTAAGGTAAGTGCCACCATACCCAGCTAATTAAATTTTTTTTTTTTTTTTTTTTTTTGTAGAGTTGGGGGTCTCATTATCTTGCCTAGGCTGGTCTCGAACTCCTGGTCTGAAGCAGTCCTCCTGCCGTGGCCTCCCAAAGTGGTGGGATTACTGGCGTTTGCCACCATGCCTGGCCCAGCTTTATTCTTTGTGTTTTTGATTTTTATTTCCTGGTGAAAAATTGGGGCATACAGATAAAAGAGGAAGCAAAAACTGCCCAGAGGTGACAACTCTTAAAATTTTAGTGGACATCTTTTCAAAGAGAGGTCTGTCTAGTGTGCCTCACATACCATCTACTTAGGTGTACAAATGGGTCTCTCAAATGTCAGCGTTCTACTTGCTTATAGCACAAAGTCAGGTCTTTTCCTGGCACGATCCTCCTAAATTATTGTCAGTAGAGGTCTCTAGCTGGGAGGGGCTTCTTGCCTTGCTGCCTATAGCCCTGTAGTTTTTTCACGTTAGAGTCTCCTGCCTTTGCCTGCCTTCTGCATCACTGACAGTGTTGTGTTGCTGCGGCCTGGCCGAACCACGCTAATGTCCTTTAAATGGCTAGTGTCCCCGCAACCCACGACCACACCTGCCTATGGTGCGACTGAACTCCTGTGGAGTACCATCTTTGGTCTTTTCCCTCTCTAGCCATCAGGGAAACCTGGGTTTTTTTTTTTGTTTTTTGTTTTTTGTTTTTTTTTTTATAGACAACTTTTTGAGAAGCATTTCGCTAGCAGAACAACTGGGGTCCTGATGACAGAGTTATCCTCTGTTTCACAGCCAGTTTCTTCCCAGAATGTATAGGCAGTTTGAGGTGGATGAGTGCCTGGATATTGGACAGGGGAGGTGTTAGCGGCCAGGGAGTGGAGAAGCACGTCTTTTGCCGTTCCCGGCGTCCCTGTGGAGGTGGCCAGGACTGGTGGATTTATGTTTCCTTAAGAAGGGACGGACGTCTTGTCTAATATGAGTGTAAGCTTTTCAAGGGGAATTTCTGGCACTTACTACAGTGTGTGGTACAGAGTAGGCCTCCATAATTATTTGTTGCATACGGGAAGAAGTAAGTACCTTGAACAAATCAGAAAAGTATGATACAGTTCACTAAGTTGCTTTTTCTCTGATGTATGGTTTTAAAAAAATATAATTGGTATAGTCTAGTTTGAGAGATAAGAAATACAAATGGAGGGTGAGGGAGAAAAAAATCCAAACAGAGATCAGCTGAGAAGTGAAAATCGTAAGTGCTCTGGGAACTCTGAGGATGGAAAGCTTGTTGGAATGGCTCACCCTTGTCTCCTTTGTAAAGCTGATTGGTATTGTCATTGAGATTGGGACTGGTTCAGACAGGTGAGGCAGAGGAGTGAGAGAATGGGGGCTTGCCAGGTCCAACACAAGGCGGAGCAAAGCATTGACACAGCTGAGCTATTCCGAGATACTCTGTACCATGGTTTTGTGCCCTTTCTGCCTTCATTTCTGTGTCCTTCTCCCCATGGAAAGCCTCTCTGGGGACAGAATACTAGGACATTTTCTGTTTACTTATCTCAAAATAGCAAGTGGAAAGAGCATTTGAAGTTGTTGCATGAGAGAACACTTAGGCATGGCTGACTCTGAAGTCCTCTGCCGGTAGCAGATGTGATGAAGGATTTTGGGATCCCGTTACCCATTTTTCAAGGTTGATTTTTCTGCCCTCAATCTTCCAGGCAGATGTGTGTCCTCCTGTGCCTTATTACTTAGCTGAGGGAGCATCAGGACCACATACGTGGCGGGAGAGAGCTGGAAACCGAGAGAGTGTGTCCTATCTCCTGCCATACTTAGGAGAGGTACTCCTTGTTTTCCAGAGAATGTCGGGATGCTTTGCACTGGATCCCAGAGCCCTTCATGAAAACTTCCTCTTCATGTTCTTTAAGTGTAATTAATATAGCAGTGTTATATAACTTAAACTAAAGGGCACGGGAAGTGATTTTATTTACTGAGATCTCTGTAGAAATTTAACAGTTACTTTTATTTCACAGTTTCTGAGTTTGAAGACATACTTCCTTGATTCTTAACAGTTAAAACCTAAATAGGCAATAGGGAACATTTTATTGTATTTACACAGAAGCCTGCCCTGGGAAAGGGGACTTTGAGGAGATTGTCTGGAAATGAAAAGACATTACTGTGCTCTGGCTCTTGCTTTCTCCTTGTGACTTTGGGCCTTAGATAAGGTTATGGAAGAGGAAATGTGATGTTTTTCCTCTCCCCCGACTCTAGGCCATTGCAGTTGGTGATGTTCTCTCCTCTTTGAAGGAGTTCTTTGAAGAAAAATGTGCTCCTTGAATCAACTGCAGTCTCTCCACTACATAAGAACTCTTAAGGGTACTAGCAGAATAGAAGCAAATGAAACTGAAAGCTCATCTGCAGCTCAGAAAAACAAAGACATGGAATTTTAAAGAGTGAAGGTAGCCTGGTGTCGGCCATGGGTGATCAAGACACAGCCAGACAATGTGGACCAATTTCTTCAAACTACGGCTTTTCTGCTGTCTGCTTGCAGTGTTGATGGTGGTGGTGCTGGTCATCAATATTACTCAGGTAGAGGTGAGTACCCAGTGTAATCCCTCATAACTAAGGAAGCCCTGTCTGGGGATTTGGGTCTAACCAGCCTGGGAAAATATTGGTTATCGGAAGCTTATCCTAGTTACAGTTCTTGTTTTCATTTATTCAATAGGTATTTAAGTGCCTAGAATGGTTATCTACTGGGCTAGTCACTGAGGGTACAGTGAAGACATTTCTTCACTTACGGGCCTTCGATTCTAGAACTCACACTGTAAGTGTGCATGGAAGAAAAGAATAAGTAATAATCACATAATAATCACAATGATGGCTGGGTGCAGTGGCTCACGCCTGTAATCCCAGCACTTTGGGAGGCTGAGGTGGGTGGATCATGAGGTCAAGAGATCAAGACTATCCTGGCCAACATGGTGAAAACCCATCTCTACTAAAAATACAAAAATTAGTTGGGCATGGTGGCGCATGCTTGTAATTCCAGCTACTCAGGAGGCGTAAGCAAGAGAATTGCTTAAACGCAGGAGGCAGAGGTTGCGTTGAGCCTAGATTGCGCCATTGCACTCCAGCCTGGGTGATGGAGTGAGGCTCTGTCTTAAAAAAAAATAGTAATGGTAATTGGAGATTGTGAAAAGTACAATAAGGAAAGGGAGTTATTCTAGGATAGCTTTAGAGTGATGAAGGAAAAGCCTCTTCAAGGAGGGGACCTTTTAGTCGACACATGGGAAAAAGCTGAAGGAGGATTTCAAGGGAGGGAGTAGATGGATCTGTTTTGAAGATTACTAGATGGCACTCGGGTAGAGACCTTGTCTTACTGAATCCCTCACAAGGGCCTGGCACTGAGAAGGATCCTAGTAGTGTTCCTTCTTCCTTGCCCCAAGCCCCAACATGACCTCATATAACCAAAACCTATGGAGGAGTTCTGGATAAAAGGATGCTTTCCTTTTGTTTTGTTGGCTTGTGGTACTTCTCAGATTACATATCCAACTTAATTATGGCATTTCTTTTCTTACTAGGGGTAGCATAAGATTCTCTAAAAGCTAAGCCATAGGCTTTTAAAAACATCTCTCCTGCTGAAACCAACTTTGTGATTTTTAGGAGAACACCTAATCTCACTACGAAATGGGCACACTAAGGTCCTACAGATATTTTTATGTGTGCAATGAGTAAAACTTGTTAGGTACTTTGGAGACTGTGAAGTAATTCTGTTAAAGATTTCCTGTTGGAAGTAGCTTAAGGCATAAAAGGTGGGTATTTCTTCCTGTTTTTCTTTGCTTAAACTGTTCTTGGATGTTTTACTATGTAAGGTACTACCAGTTCTGCACCAGTAGTTCCTTTTACCTGGTAGCTGTTGCTGATGTGTCTAGGTATTTTAGAAACTCCTCTTTTTTTAAAAAATTTTTTGTGGTAAATATACATAACATAGAACTTGTCATTTTAACCACTTTTAAGTGTACAATTGAGTAGCATTAAGTACATTCATATTGTTATGCAACCACCACCACCATCTATGTCTAGAGCTTTTTCATCTTCCCAAACTGCAACTCTTTACCCATTAAACAGTGATTACCTAGGCCAGGCGCAGTGGCTCGTGCCTGTAATACCAGCACTTTGGGAGGCTGAGGCAGGAGGATCACTTTAGGTCAGGAGTTCAAGACCAGCCTGGTCAATGTGGCGAAACCCCGTCTCTACTAAAAATATAAAAATTAGCTGAGCATGGTGGTGCACGCCTGTAATCCCAGCTGTTGGGAAAGCTGAAGCATGAGAATTGCTTGGACTTGGGAGGCGGAGGTTGCTGTGAGCCGAGATTAAACCACTGCACTCCAGCTTGGGTGACAGAGAGAGACTGTCTCAAAACAAAAACAAAAACAAAAACCCAATGACAACAAAAAACAATGATTACCCATTCCTCCCTACCCCCTGCTCCGTGGCATACACTCTTCTTTCTGTCTCTATGAACTCGACAACTCTAAGAACCTCATATAAGTGGAATCATATGGTATTTGTCTTTTTTTTTTTGAAACATAGTCTCACTCTGTTGCCCAGGCTGGAGTACAGTGGCATGATCTTGGCTCACTGCAACCTCTACCTCCTGCATTCAAGTGATTTTCATGCCTCAGCCTTCCAAGTAGCTGGGATTATAGGCATGTGCCACCACGCCCTTTGTTTGCTGTTGGCAAGTATATCTTTTTGTATATAGTATAAGGAAGGAGTCAGTTTCAGTGTTTTGCATATGGCTAGCCAATTATTCCAGTACTGTATATGATATTGTATAACCACTCTATCTTTCCTTCGTTTGCTGTTAGCAAGTATGTCTTTTTCCATCATTTTGGTATTATTATTATTATTTTATTTTATTTTTTTGAGATGGAGTTTCGCTCTTGTTACCCAGGCTAGAGTGCAATGGCGCGATCTCGGCTCATCGCAACCTCCTCCTTCTGGGTTCAGGCAATTCTCCTGCCTCAGCCTCCGAGTAGCTGGGATTACAGGCACGCGCCACCATGCCCAGCTAATTTTTTGTATTTTTAATAGAGACGGGGTTTCACCATGTTGACCAGGATGGTCTCGATGTCTTGACCTTGTGATCCGCCCACCGTGGCCTCCCAAAGTGCTGGGATTACAGGCTTGAGCCACCACGCCCGGCCATTTTGGTATTATTATTATTATTATTATTATTTTTGAGGCGGAGTTTCGCTCTTGTTACCCAGGCTGGAGTGCAATGGTGCGATCTCGGCTCACCGCAACCTCCGCCTCCTGGGTTCAAGCAATTCTCCTGCCTCAGCCTCCTGAGTAGCTGGGATTACAGGCACGTGCCACCATGCCCAGCTAATTTTTTGTATTTTTAGTAGAGACGGGGTTTCACCATGTTGACCAGGATGGTCTCGATCTCTTGACCTCGTGATCCACCTGCCTTGGCCTCCCAAAGTGCTGGGATTACAGGCTTGAGCCACCGTGCCTGGCGGTATTATTTTTTATTGTTTTTGAGACAGGGTCATGCTCAGTTTCCCAGGCTGGAATGCAGTGGCACAATCGTGACTCACCACAACCTTTGTCTCCCATGCTCAAGCAGTCCTTCCCACTCAGCCAGCCCTTCCCACTCAGCCTCCTGAGTAGCTGGGACTACAGGTGTGTGCCACCATGCCTGGCTATAATTTTTTTGTAGTTTCTTTTTAGACACGGGTTTCACCATGTTGCCCAGGCTGGTCTTGAACTCCTGGGCTCAAGTGATCTGGCTGCCTTAGCCTTCCAAAGTGCTTGGATTACAGGTTGAGTCACCACATCCAGCCAGTTTACTATTTTTTAAACCTATTTGTATTTTTATATTTATTTATTTATTGAATTGTATTTTTTTAAAAATTTATTTCAAGTTTGAGGGTACATGTGAAAGTTTGTTACATAGGAAGCATATGTCAGGGGGGTTTGTGTACATATGATTTCATAACCCAGGTATTAAGCCCGATACCCTTTCTGCTCCTCTCCCTTCCCCCACTCTTCCCCCTCAAGTAAACCCCTGTTGTTTCTTTTCTTTGTGTTCATAAGTTCTTATCATTTAGTTCCCAGCTGTAAGTGAGAACGTGCAGTATTTGGTTTTCTGTTCCTGTGTTAGTTTGCGGAGGGTAATAGCCTCCAGCTCCATCCATGTTCCCACAAACAAACATGATCTGGTTCTTTCTTACGGCTGTATAGTATTCCATGCTGTATATGTAATATAAGATTTTCTTATATTTCATATGGAATATAAGGTTTTCCTTATCCAATCTGTTATTGATAGGCATTTAGGTTGATTCCATGTCTTTGCCATTGTGAATAGTGCTGCAGTGAACATTCACATACATACATCTTTATGGTGGAATGATTTATATTTCACTGGTTATATACCCATTAATAAGATTGCTGGGGCTGGGAGCGGTGGCTCACGCCTGTAATCCCAGCACTTTGGGAGGCCGAGGCAGGTGGATCACGAGGTCAAGAGATCGAGACCATCCTGGTCAACATGGTGAAACCCCGTCTCTACTAAAAATACAAAAAATTAGCTGGGCATGGTGGCGCGTGCCTGTAATCCCAGCTACTCAGGAGGCTGAGGCAGGAGAATTGCCTGAACCCAGGAGGCAGAGGCTGCGGTGAGCCGAGATCGCACCATTGCACTCCAGCCTGGGTAACAAGAGCGAAACTCCATTTCAAAAAAAAAAAAAAAAAAAAAAAAATTGCTGGGTGGAACGGTAGTTCTGTTTTCAGGTCTTTGAGGAAATGCCATACTGCTTTCCACAATGGTTGAACTAATTTACACTCCCACCAACTGTGTGTATGTGTTCCCTTTCCTCTTCAACCTTGCCAGCTAAAGGTTGCCAAAAAATCTGTTATTTTTTGACTTTTTAATAATAGCTATTCTGACTGGTGTGAGATCTCAGTGTGGTTTTGATTTGTATTTCTCTAGTGATCAGTGATATTGACCTTTTTTAAAATATGCTCTTTGGCTGTATGCATGTCTTCTTCTGAGAAGTTTCTGTTCATGTCCTTTGCCCACTTTTTAATGGGGTTGTATTTCTCTTGTAAATTTGTTTAAGTTCCTCATAGATGCTGGAGATTAGAGCTTTGTCAGATGCATAGTTTGCAAATATTTTCTCCCATTCTGCAGGTTGTCTGTTTACTTTGTTGATATTTTCTTTTGCTTTGCACAGGCTCTTAAGTTTAATTAGATCCTACTTGTCAATTTCTGCTTTTGTTGCAATTGCTTCTGGTGTCTTTGTCATGAAATCTTTGTCCATTTGTCCAGGATGGTATTGCCTAGGTTGTCTTCTAGTGTTTTTACAGTTTTGGATTTTACATTTAAATTTTTAATCCATCTTGGGTAGATTTTTGTATATAGTGTAAGGAAGGAGTCAGTTTTAATGTTTTGCATATGGCTGGCCAATTATTTCAGTACCAGTATAATTTTCCTCATTGCCTGTTTTTGTCAGCTTTGTTGAAGATCAGAAGATGGTTGTAGATGTGTGGCCTTATTTCTGGATTCTCTATTCTGTTTTGTTGGTCTC